CAGATATGCTGATTGGGTTGGATGAAATGGTTTCATAGGAAATGCTCCCTTTTTGAAAATATTTGCTGTGTGCTGAGAAGTAAACCTGTTGGAAAAGAAACATCACTGGATGATACAATCTGTGTGGGAAATACAGGTTAAGTTCTCTGTTTACGATTTCGTGTAGCTGTTAAAGTCTCCAAGGTGTGATGAAACTCTCATGAACTGCAGAATAAAAGCATGCAGTATTTCAGCCACTGATATTCTGAAGCTCACCCACTAAAAAACTCCATTAATTCACTTTGACCAGGTCTGTAACACAGTAGAAGTTTGATTATGGAAGAACTCGAGTGTCCAATGGAAAGAACATGATTCACTTCTAGCATACACTTGAGGATAGATAAATCCAAGATGCCATTGCAGAATTAAAGCCATCACAGAACTTATCTGTTCTGTGAGATAATAAGTAGAACCACCTAGAACAAGTGAAATTTTGGGTGTAGACAGAGGAAAATGGTGAACTGGTTATTGGTTTTTGTTGAGTGCAGATCATTCGGTCACACCAAGAAAATGCTGCCTCTTGGGGATTCTTTGGCCAGCCTAAGGCTCTGTACAGTGGGAAAACTCGAGGGGAACCCAAGGCACTTCTGCATGGACAGGCTCATCGTCAGGTGAGAAGACTTGCAGCATCCAGACACACCTTGACATGCTGCAGACCCTCTTGAGTTGGAGCAATAGCTTGATCTTTCTATGAACTCATTTCACACCCCAAAAAAACGGAGTTGTCTCCATTTAACAAATCTTCTTTGGCTGTCACCTTTGCACTAAAACGAAGCTGTCCTTATGGGAAATACTTCTGAATTTCAGGGTATGAATTTAGCCTTTTCTCTTCTGAAATGAGTCAAATTAGAAGTATCTGAAAGTGTCAAGATAAAAACGTATAAAGGAGCCATCCAGAATAACAATTTTTGCTGCCTGCCTGCCTCAGAGGTTACTGGGATGCTTCGGCACTGCGATTATGGGGTTGAAGCTGGGGTGTATATTCAATGTCTGGAATTATTATTGCTATTTATGGTATCCTGTTGAAAATACAGTGATGCTCAGGTGGCCACAGTGGGAATTCTTTGCAATATAAAGGAGGTCAGGCAGGAAAACCAAAATGATACCTTCTGGCTCAGCAGGTTCGGATTCTGCGTAATGACTGGGTTTAGACTGTTTCTCCCAAAGTCTGTTAGGATAATTAAGGCTGTAGTTGTGTGCTGCACATGACACTGTGCTATCTGTCCAGGCTGCTAAATCAACAATCTCGGAAGCAAGCATTTTGTCATCCTTGCAACTAACATTTCTTTTACTGCTTGATTTGAAAATGTTTTGGGTTTTGGTGTTTTGCTTCAATCGCACTAACAGGAAAAACTTCCTTTGCTCACTGATGGTGTGACTCCTTGGATTCTGTATGCAAAGTTTGGAATTTAATGAACTCTCTCATGTATATGAAAGAATGCATTAACTACAGGTCAGCAAAGTCTGTTTATTGTGTTGGTTTAGTACGGAGAGCTGTTATTACCCTGTTGCTTTTAAGGCAGCCTGCTTAAAGGTAATTATTTAGACTACCCGAAGCCGTGCAGAGTGCCAGCACAACTCTGCTTCTTTACATTAATGGTACAGTATAGAGTCACGGTTCCATGTTAACCTCAGTTTACCCTTGGGACTGCTGGCTGTTAGGGAATGAAGAGTTTTTGTTAATGTTCTTTTTCTTTTTCATTTGTCAAGGGTTGTCATGTGGTTTCCCTGGACTTGTCATTCACTCAAAATTAATTCAAAAAATACTTTTTTTCGATTCCCCTTTAGGATTGAAATTCCAGAGTGTTCTATAACAAGCGTAGAAACCATGAGCCTGAATCTATTTTTACTCTTTGACACAATCCCATGTATTTTCCCACGATAATACTTGTCATCAGTGTGGGAATTTATATCAGGGTTGAGCATGAATTGTGTAAAATGCCTTTATTTCCTCTTAGGATGGAAAGGCAAAGAACACATGAGGAGATGGCCTTATTCAACAGTGAGCCAAGAGGGGAGCTCCAGTACTGACTCATGACAAACAATAATTGGCCTGGTACAACCTCTGAACACTGCGCTCTTCTTGGGTGTTTCTGCAGGCCTGCAGAAACAAAGGTGTCCAAAATTTTGGGAAGTGGAATTTAGAAAGTTGATCCTACATGACACATCCGTCGTGGGTCCTGAGCATCTGTGGCAGAATCAACAAGTGAAGCCAAGTCATCAGACTTCCTCCCAATTAGAAGGTAATCGGTGGCATCCTGGCCTTTCAGGCACCAGACTGTTCCTCATAAAACATTCAACAGCCTTGCAGTTACCCAAAGAGGAAAATGAGGAGGGAGGTATTTTTCCACCTGATGGACATGGCATGTAATTACTGTAGGCATATCCTGATTCTTTGTATTGCTCATCGCTGCTGTGCCTAAGAATTCCTTGATATTCAGAGAGTGCCCTAACCAAGTCAGGTTTTCATAATATGATTACATTATGAAATTATATTTCATGCCTCTATATCACAGCGTGCACATAAACACTTTCATCATGTGTCGGAGTGTCGTTTGCTTTGCTCTGATACCGTGCACCAGAGGATGTCTACAAATTGAATTATTTCTGGATAGTTACCCTAAATAACTCCATGCAGGGGAACCTGTACTGTAGCACAAAAGCACCTTCCTCTCCTCTATCATGATCCATTTTAGACATGGATTTTGCTGATGCAGAACAGGGCACTCCTATTTTGGAATAATTTTAAATAGGAATAGTTTTTGTGCTTTCGGCTCACACCCTGCATTATCCAAAATAGCTTTGAAGTGTAGACAAGCCTCTAATGTGTCTGTAGTATTTCCATTCTGCTTCCCGGCTCCTCCTTTTTCCCTGGCTCTTCCTTTGGGAAGGTCTGGGACAAAACCAGACCTGCAGAGCCCGTCATTTAGGTCTTTGCTTCCACAAACTTCATACCAAGGGACGTTTCCAATCCAATTCCCAATTTATATGCATCCCTAAGCTTTTTAAGGGAGTATTTAGGCACGAGTTTCTGACTTGGAGCTATCCCCACAAGGTACATCAGTAAGTAGAGTTTCCTTTCACGCTTTTCTAAAAGGGAGATCCCTCCGCAGTATAATCTGTTTTCTAGTTTGTAAATCCTTTTCTAGCAGTTCCCATAATTGTGTTTGTATTTCTAACCTCCTGTGAGTACGAGGTGGCCGTTTTCAGAGTCCTGGCCGTAACCATGCCACAAACATAGCAGCTAATTTAAGAGAGCTTCATGGCAGATAGATGAGTAGGGTTATTTTATATCTGCTAATTTATCACTCATTATCTTGATACCACGAGGTCCTTCTGCAGCTCTTCACAGGCAGGTTTAGGTTTGACTGTCCTGAGTAGTTCTGAAACATCTGCAAACACATCATTTCACTGTTTGTCTCCAGCATCAGCAGAGGCGTTGGCCGCGATGGCTCGGGAGATGGGGGCATTAACGCCAGCTCCTGTCACCCTCCGAGCTCTCGGACCGCGCTGAGCCGCCAAACGGCAGCGTGAAACTGGAGGATATTGTTTCTTCAATCCATGTAACATCTCAAGATACAACCACAGAGACAGAAGGATCCTTGTTCACAAAGACGATGGAGGTGCTTTCTTCAAATAAAAAGAGGTTTATTAAGATAATGAGAATGACATTGTGGTGTGGGTGTTGTACATCTATTGCAGCATTAAGAGAAACGACAGCAAGTACAAAATCCTGCAGGACTTCTATGGTCATTATCATCACAGCCTATCTCGTCCATGCTACGGTTTTGTGTACCCAAAACTTCATTCCCATTTCTAATGGCAGAAAATCCAAAGACTTTCATCTTTCAAGAAAAAAAAAAACAAACACAGAAACAAAACGAAAAAGGCGAAACAAAACGAAAAAGGCAAAACAAAATGAAAAAGGCAAAACAAAACGATTAAGGCAAAACAAAACGAAAAAGGCAAAACAAAACGAAAAAAACCCAACTCAATTTGATATAAATAACTTGCACTGGACATTTTAAAACTTTCAGATTTTAATTACACATAAATAAATATATACAGATTTAGAACAGTTCAGTATGGCCTGGTTCAAGTTCTGCTCCTTGTGCTTTATTAATTATTATTAATTTTAGAAACTTATGTGCTGTTATCTGTAGGTTGTGGAGTTTTAATTAGTCCTGGGTTTAACCTAACCTGCTTTATCCCCAGCTGTGCCCGTGGCAGCCGGGAAGGCTCTCCTCAACCCCTGGGAACCGCGGGGTGTGCGGCTGGTTGCTCCCCTCCTGGTGCAGCTCGGGGCTCCCCAGCCCCGGGGAAAATCCACATTAAGTCGCAGTTGGAAAACTGTAAACGAAGTCTGAAACTGCTTTGAATCCAAAGCAGTTCTGCTGGCGATTTTCTCTTGGCCTGGCTTCGGACTGGGCTGTAGGTGGGGAAATGGGAAGGTTTCCTGTCAAAACCAGCTGATAGATCCAGGTAGAGCCCGTGATCCGACTCCCTGCCCGCTGCTGCTCGTGCCTCTGGTTCTTGCATTGATGAGGCTTTTGCTTTTTCTTCTGTTTTTCAGTTGGAAAAAATTCCTGGAGCATGTCAGGATTTCACTACAGGTTTTTAAAAAACTAAACAAAATAAAATTGCACATGACTTGGCTTCCTGCATCCATAATTATTTTTTTTTTTAGAAAAAAAAAAAAAGGCAAAACCCAAAAGCCATTAACCTGGCTTATTTTCTCAATCTCACTGTGTCCATCAGAATTGTTTTCCTCTTAAATTTTTTAAATCTTCTTTGTTGTCTTTTCTGCGTTTGCTTTACGAGTTTCATCCCAAGTTCCAATGTTGCAGTTCAGAAAACGGTGCACGGGGCAATCTCTTTCCCCCAGGGCTGTTAACCCTTCCTGTCGCGACGTATCGTGACCGGGGAAAGCTCCCGCCGGGGAGAGGGAGGGAGACAGCGCGTTATTTCCGATGCTTCACTTCTTTTTCTGACGCTTTGGAGTCTCCAGCCGTGTGCCCGTTCCCTGTGCTGTTCATGAACATTTTATCCAGCCCCTTGAGGGACTCCACCAGGTAGTTCTGGAAGGCGGTGAGGGCGGCGCAGATGGCGGGGCCCCCAAAGCCGTGGGTGATCAAGCTGAAATGAGTCAAACAGCTCTGGACACCGGGCTCTAAGATGAGCGAGGGGCGGCTGTTGCCCAGCGGCGAGCGATCCTGGGCTATCAAGTCTGCAAACTCTTTACAAATTTGCCTGAAAGAGAGAGAGGTTTGTGTTACCAGGGATGCTGTTGGAAAGCTGCAGGGACATAGGTGTGTTTGGGGTCTCTTTTCCCCGCTCCCTGCCCAAGCAGCTGCCTCCCCTCCGGGAGTTTTCAGCTCCAGCCCGGGGTTGGCCCCTGCCTGCGGAGTCGGAGGTGCCAAAATGCTCCCTGGGGTGAGCTTAACCTCTCCCGTGCAGGAGCAAGCCCTTCATCCATGCTGACCGTTCACCTTGCAGCACATCTTTCGGATCGGTGTGCGGCGTATGAGACCGTCTCTTCCCTGCGGAAGAGTGAGCTTTTGGGGCTAACGCTGCCCTTCCAGGCTGCAGGTACCTAACACACCGGTGGCTCGTTGCCATCTGTACTCACTTGGTAGCCAGCAGCATGTTTTTCCTGGTGTGGAGCTCGGTGGGGTCGGAGTGCTGTCGGCACAGGTACTCCGCCGCCGCCTTGGCTGGGAACTCCGTTTCGCACACGTACCCAAAATCCCGAGCCAGGTGAACGGCTTCACCTGCGAGCAGGACAGATTAACAAACTGCATCAACACCCACGTCAAAGGGGAGCACTTTGTGTAACAACTGCAGCCACCTCGCTGGTGTGCCTTATTCTGCTGGGACTGGAGCCCTCTCCTTTCCCAGTTGCCACCCAAGAGCTCCCTCCCTTTGGCTCCTGGTGCAGAGACACCACTGAGAGCTGCTTATACTCGTCTGTGGGACAATTAGTGCACACGGGTCCAAATGAACCATTGCCAACTCCAACCAGAAGCTGGATCCTTCCTTTCCTAGCTTGTAAAAGAGCATCAGGATGGTGCTGGAGTTAAGATCAGGTGAGACATGACCCTCTGGGCTGCTCCTCCAAAAGGAAGAACGGCAGACGTGGGTGCTTCCCTTGCTGCATCTTTCTCTCCCCAGTTCTTCCAAAATTTCCTGCTCAGCCTCTCCAAACTGAGCAGAGATTTAAACAGGCTGGAGGGTGGAAAAGCGACCTTAGCCCTGTGACCGCTAGACAAAACAAGGGTGTGAGAAAGAGGCAGAAGGAAGGGTTTTACATCCTCCCACAGTGAGCAGGGCCCTCGGGCTGGACGTGCAGGCAGCGTATCCATCACCCCGTGGAAATGCCCACCCATTGATGGGATTGATCCATCTCCAGGCGTCCCCATGGAAATAATCAGAGCTGATGGCAATTGATCATGCCCAGCACCCGAAATCCCGGTCGGGCAGGCAGAGCTAATTTGACTTGCCCTCCTGCTGCTCATATGCATTAGGCCATCCATCCTGATAGCATTAACCTAGATCCCATCACAGCCTCTCCAACTCCTGGAGCTCAGCCTGTGAAGCCGCGCTGTGGGGAAAGTGTCTGTGCTTCTCACACAACGACAATACTTTCTACTTTATCTCCTCCTCCAATGAAGGATCAAATAAGTTAAACCTAGAGAATCGGAACTGCGGTTGTTTGTGTGTTAAAAAAACAATCAGAAAGTAACAGCTGCTGAAAAACAGTTATTGTGACAATAAAAAAGGGCTGTGTGACCTCACGGTGAGAGCCAAGGCTGGAGCCAGGATTTATTTCCTCCGCGAGCGCGTGCGAGTGGCTACTCGGCTGAGTGTTTTAAAGGCCATTTGGATGCTGGCTCCCAGAGGATTCAGCGGAGGGGACAAGGATTCCCCAGTTTGAACTGGGGTCAGAGCCCCAGGGAGGAGAGGCTGGAGGAGAGTGCTCGTGGGGCAGGAGGCCAGTGCAGGCAGAGGGGCCACGGGAGCCTGTCTGAACGCACAGCTCTTTCCGAGAGCTTAGGGATGTTCCTGAAGTTGAACTACAGCCTTAGTGCTCCTCTGGGTCCATGCTGGAGCTGCTCTCATGGAGCAGGTGCCCAAGGGAGGGCAAGTGCTCGGTGTACACGGCAAGGGCTCCCGAAGGAAGGAGCTCCTTGTAGTGCTCTACCCTCGTAGTGCTCCCTGAGTTCCCCAGCACCCACTGTCCCCATCCATATGAACAGCTGTGGGTCAGGGTAAGAAAAAGTGTATCGTTAGCCCTCAAAAAAACACCCAGGTGTTTTTTTAAATGAACATTGGGAAGGCAGAAGGGAGAAAACAAATTAAACCAAGACAGCAAATGTCCAGGAAAGAGAGTGCCTGGGGCAGAGGGGCACAAGCCAGCTCCTGCGTGCCGAGTAGTGGCAATGCAATAGCACCTTCCTCTGGGTGCAACATCTCCCAGAACCATAACGCTGATGTGCAGGAGGAAATTATATCCCTCACGCACACATGGCACCACTCTTTTATTTACTATGAGCTGGTAAGCAGGAACCAAAACGTCAGCAGCCACCTGAAATCAAAATGTATGTTTCTTCCTTCCTTTCTTTCTTCCATTCTTTTCTTCCTTTTCTTTTAATGGAAATCAGCCTTTCATTCAGCACGAACCAACTGCCCTCGGTAACAACCTCCGCCTAATGAAGCGGGTCATTTAATTTGCTGGCAACAATGGAGATGGTTTGCTATTCAGAAACTGGAGGCAGCTGCCTCCAACACGCCGGGCACAAACACAATGGATTCCAAAGCTCGAAGGGAGCCGGAGCTGTCACTGCATTTGCGGCCCGTGTCCTTTTCTCCCAAGATGCAGTGGCGACATCATCATTTGCATAGTGCAAAAAGTAGGAGGGGAGCTCGTAAATGAGCAGCTTTCAGCAGGGGCACCTTGGCACCAAGGCTGTGCCGCCCGCAGCGCGTCCTCCAGAGCTCAGCCCTTCACGCCACGCTCCAGGGCTGCTCCTACAAACTTCACCTCCACCTGCAAGACCTCCGAGCTGCGCGGCATCTCCTCGATGCCTCGTTGCCCCCTGCTGTCCCAGGGGACCAGGGCAGGACTCGGATATGGGGCATCCCCTTCTTACAGGAGATGAGACCCGGACCTGAGCGTGGTGACGGAGCCTCGACAGAGCAGGTCGAGGACAGGTGAGACACCCAAGTTCTGTCCTAAGTGGGTGCCACTAAATCCTTAGCAGCTTTATTCAAGCTTTTTTGTATTTGGTTTCTGTTTTCCCGACTGAGCATGGTTGGAAATAGTTCACGGAGATGAACGGTACCCTGAGATACAGCCGGGAGGGAGCTCCCAGCCCCGCTCGGGCTGCCGGTGCCTCCTCCCCACGGGCTGCCACTGGTCCCACAGAAATGTCTGAGTTTCGGAAGGCAGACGACGTGCTTGAGTCAGCATGGAGACTTACACGGGGATGTTTCCAGCCGCAGTCGGTGGTGACCGCTGCATACTTTGTTTTAAGTGTTCTCGTTTGTGGAAAGCTGCAAATGAAGGGTTGGAAGTTTCGGCACTCCCATCCTCGGCGGGAGCGGAGAGCGGCTCTTACCTTCCACCAGGGACGTCAGCAGGGTGACGTTGGCGGCTTTGCGCCTTCCTGCGGGTAGATTTAGTCCGATTTTCTCTAACCTCTCCCTCAAACACCGACCCCCGTTTTTTGATTTTGCTCTGAAAAGAGAAAGCAAGGAGGGGAAAAAAATGATCATGCAATTAATGTTAAAATAACTGCAAGTAATCCCGGTTTAAGCTTTTAGGTTTGAAAGAAAAGAAGAAAAAGCAACAAAACGCTGTTCCCCAATATACCACACACCGGAATTTCTGGTCTCCGTTAATTTGAGAGGTAAGAGCTGGTGCTGAACACAAAGCTCACCTCAGCATCACCCCCTGCGTTTCAGCCCGGGGTGCAGCCCTGCATCCCTGGGCTGTCCCGGGGCTCCCAGGAGCAGCTTACCTGCGGAGCACCCCGCCGAGGAGAGAGGCGTTGAGACACTCGGGGGGCGAGAGCCTTCTCTGCACCTCCCCGACCGTCACCTTGTACTTGGAGGTGGAGCTGAGAAGAGAGAGGCGGCCAGGCACGGAGCAGAAGACCTCGTTGGGATTCGTCACCCCTCCGATCAGGCTGTCTTTGTTCATTGACAGGGTGGAAATGGTGGTGCCGTTGGCCTTCGAGGGGATGGGCACTGGGAGAGAAGGAAAGGAGAGAGAAGAGGAGACCATGGCTGAGACTCCAGAGCCAGGGAAGCCGCTCAGTGACTCTCCTGGCAGCTCTCAGCCCCCAGCACCCGTGTGCTGCCATCGCAGGCGTCAGCATGGCTGGCTGGGAGAGCTCAGTGAGTTCCTTATTCTGCTCAATAAAAGAAGAGAGGTGGGGTGATGAAACTAAACTAAATAAAGAAAAAAAATAGGGAAGAAGCCTGGACTCTGCTCTCGCCTGCTTTCCCACGCCTGCCAGCTCTACTCTAATTAAAGCCAAGGTTTTGGGCTGGTGTCCTGGAAGGCCGAGGGCTGCCCGCAGCATTGCTGTCTGGACCCGTGACCGGCTGGCCCACCCCCCCTCCCTCTGGCGGTGCGGTGGCAGGGCCAAGCGCCAGCTCGTCGCGCTGGCCTGGGTTCCGTTCCTCTCCGGGCTTTGGGACGGGATCGCAGCCGCGGCCCCGCTGTGCACAGGCACACGTCTGCGTCCCACTGGCCAGGAACCACAGGGCTGAGCAGCGACCTTCATGCCCTGCATAAAGCCCAGGAGATGCCAGGGTGGCCGAGCGCTGGGTGTGCCCACAGGAACCGCTGGAAAGGCTTCCTTTGGCTTCAGCTTTGGGATTAGCCCCACAACAAGCCGCAGCCCTAAACTCTCATCAGCCCTGCCTTGAAGGAAGCTTGAGAAGATCAAACCCAATTAATCCAGCCCAGACTTCCTTTTGCTTAACGGGCAAAAGTCAGTTAACACAAGAGTTGGGCAGGCAGTGGTGAGTGCAGCATCGCATCGGGCCCACGGCATCGTCACGCCCGGGGTGGAATGGGCACGGTTTTCCCATACGTCATTCCAGCAAGAAACGTTCTTAGACGCAATAAAGGTTTATAGGTTAAAACTGGGGCTGAAACTCGTGCCAAATCTCTTCGGCTTTTACGTTCTGAAATTAATAACCAATTTAACTCTGGAAAAAAGCAGGTTTTAAAAGAATCCAAAGAGGACTGCAAATGCCATCGCTCCAGATCGTTCCAGCCCTGGCATTCTTTGTGGTTCCTCGGTAATGACTGTTCCACAACGCACATTCAGATGGTTCCTGCAAGTAACACAGCAGGGCGAGATGCAGGTTTTATAAAGGAAACACGCATGCCCAAAACGAAACAGAAAACCTGAGAATTAATTGGGGAGGGCACCTAGACTGGACCTATTAGGGGGCACTTACAATCAGCATATTGTAAATACACCTCGACCACTTGTTAGTCTGGCAATAAAAAAGTAGCACATGGTCCATAAAAACAGCTGATGCTCTAAGACTAAAAGATGAATGGAAATGAG